GGGGTCCCATTTAAAAAGTAAGGATGACCTCGGAATGACGGGGGGTGGGGTCGGGATCATTTGGACCCCATGCATATTATATGATTTAAACGTAGAATTTAACGCAGAATCTAAATCCTAGATAAAAAGTAAGGGTTCCTATTTAAAAAAAACATTAACCTTGGAATGACCTTGACCCATCATGTTCAAGGTCACATTAAAGGTTATCAAAATATAGCCCCCTTAGTATTCAGCAACTTTTGTCTAAACTATTTTTCTGTACTATGCATAGAATTTGAGATATGGGAGTCCATAGATTAAAATGAATCACGCTGTACTCGTATGTACATATCATTGACGATGGTTTTCTTTTATATCGTGTAGTTTAGTGGAAGTACCGCGCAAATCATTTGCCAACAGTATATAAAGTACGTTGTCGATCATTATTCAAAAAATTCGCATATCGTTTTCGATGGGTATCGCAATGAAGCAACAACAATAAGTACGAAATCAAGTGAACGTCTTCGATGTCAAAACAAAAACTTATGTCGTGATTACGAAATAGATATTAATTTTCATATACCTGTAACTGAAGACAAATTTTTGGTTAGTGAAAAAGCAAGGATAAATTAATAACTATTATTTGTGAGGAATTTGAAAAGCAAAGCATTTAAGGGAGTATGGTGGCTAAGACTATTAAAAATGAGAATTGCTTGTAATTTGGACACAATATGTATTATGGTTCACTTAAGCTATGGTTCAAGTTTGGTGACCCTTCAGAGCTTCAAACCCGAGAAATTATTATACAACATGTGATCTTATGGGAAAACGCTGTTTTTTTTTATTATAAAGATATTCAAAAATGAGAAAATTATGAAAAAATTCTGAGGGACATAGAAAAAAATACTGAATCCATTGGTGCTTTCAAAACTATCAATCAGAGCCTGTAACAAAAGATATTGACTAATTTATATCGTAAATTTACGATTTTCGTCAGTGAATTGACGACGTGGCAACGTCGCATGTACTCCATGTGCCTCGGTATAGGCGCGGATTTCGGAATGACGCTACGAACTTCTGAACAGCGAAGCTCACTTTTTTATTAAAAATTATTCTGTTCATGTTAATAAAAATTTTTTTATATCATATTAATAAAAAACTTAACATTTATTAATTTAATAAACATTTAATTTATTATATTAAATAAATAATAATTATTACGAAATAACAGTAGTTATTTTTCTCACTCATTTTTTCAGTCTGTATAACATCAGGTTACCTTTTATAGGTTAGCCCGCAAGCATAATAAATACACGCGGTAGCAGACGTACGTTGAGCGTTTAGAGCGGAGTATATGCGCGACGTTGCCAAACTTACGATTGGTACTAAGCGAGTCAATATAAAGTTGAGGTGTTCTCTCAACTGACTAACTACGTACCCACCATACTCCCTTAAACAGTAGTTGCCGAAGTAGATGCTGATACATTGATTATCAATACGGCCGTTGGTTTATTTATGTCACAAGATAGATATGTTGTAGTTGTTGGTGAAGATGTCGATTTGCTAGTGATATTGACACACCTAGCTGATACAAGTAAAATAATACTCCTAAAGCCCGATAAATAAAAAGTCGCACAAAAGTTTTTTAGTCCATAAAGTTTAAAAAAACTGTCATTGAAAGAATCAATACTTTTCATTCACGCAATCACCCGATGTGATTCTACTTCGTGCTTCTATAATGGTGGAAAATTGAAGCTTACTGCAAGCTTTGCCACTAATATAGTTCTTCAAGAGCTAGCTAAAGTATATTATGATTCAAACGCAGATACATAAAATTTCGTATGCCAAAGGGCTCAAAATAATACGTGTAATTTATAGGTAATCTGTAAATGAATCAACTTTGAATGATTTGCGTTATATAAAATATCTTGCAGCTGCTAAAGCAAATAATAAAATGATCGAAGCACTGCCACCTACTGAAGATACAGCTCGGCAGCATTGTTGGCGAGTTTATTATCAAATACAAACGTGGCTCAGAAATAAATGAATAATTATCAATAAATAAATAATTCCTTACAGTTTATGACATAGAATAAGCTGTGGTTGCTAACCTGAATGTAATAATCAGACCTGCATTTGTCGAAAACACGGAATGTATTGCACCAGGTTGTGTTCCGATTGTTAAAGGCATATTTATTTCAACAGTGAAACGATTGTTATAAATGATGACGTGTTGAATATTGAAGATTCTACTGAGATTGACGAAGTAAACGAAACTATAAATGATGTGATTACTAACTATTTCCATCAAAATTTCGAGCAAGATAAATATTCTGACAATAATTATCAATTTGAAAACAATATGGACAACGATTACGCAATCGCAGAAAAAAGAAGAATTGAATAAAATTCATTTTGAGTATTACTGCCACATTGGACATAACATTTTAAATATTCTAACATTGTAAATAAGCGTTAAGTGATGTATTGTGAAATAAAGTTGTTTAGAAGTGATAAATGGTAACAGTTGTATTTATAACCCATAATAAAAAAGCAAAAAAATATTATCCTCATTCAACTCCAACTTTTTTTTTACCTCTTAGAAATACAAAATTATTACTTTATATAGCAATTCAAATTCAACTATTAAAACAATAAATTATGAAAAGTATAAATTGGTTGTGTAAAGAAAATAACAGTTGTTTCTAGAACAGAAAAAGAAAGTTTGAAAATCTTGAAATAATGACGGCTAATAGAGAGCGCCAAAATTATGATATTAAATAATTATTTATTGTATCAATTGTTTACGCGAAAGTTAATATTTCGTCAAGCTACCCCAAGTTAAAAAAATTATGAAAATCCATGTAGTAGTTACGGAGAAAATGGAAAAATTTCGCTCGGTTTTACCATAATTTGAAGTTTGATAAGTTAATAACTAAACGAATGGGATTTTTTTGCAAAAGATATCCTATCTTCGCTCCTTTTACACTTAAAGAGGTAATTGTTTTTTTTTGTAAATTTGCCAAAAAATTCTAGCTGTCCGAAAATATTCATCATTAAGAATAATCCCGCTCATTAAAAAAGATATTTTATTTATTTATAAGGTCATTTTTAGCATGTGTATGTTTAGCTGTTTTTAAACAATCTAAGATTGTAAAATGATCACGCAGGTAAGCCTGAGCTGAACTAGAACGACGAACGAAGAGATTGAGCTCTTGCTGATAGTTGTACGACACCCCTAATCGCAAGAAATTAGATTTTAATTAAGTCCCTTTTTTAATAATAATAGCTTTTGAACAAATAAATATCAATATTTTTCTTTTAAATTTGAACCGTGATTTTATCTTCACAAGACGCTCGGTTTAGGCTGTGTTTGAAATTTATATTTGACAAATTGTCAAAGCTATTGGTTAATTTAAAATAGCTTATTTTAACAGTTTTTTGCAATAACTTAAATACTATTTTTATGGATTTTATAGAGTTTCTCATTTTGTAGAGTTTCTCAGCGCCAAAAAAGGGTGAAAATTCCATAGCTTTATATCTAAAAGTTTAACTTCAAAAACGGGAAAAACTTTTTCAGCGCATGTTTTTAGCTAATATGTTAATCGCGCACCACTTTTTTGGTCCATTGAGCTAGTCTCATCAAGCACTGCTATACAAACTGCAACGATTGTCGAAAATCGTTATGCCTCGCGTGGACTGTTAAGCGTGGCTACGTGTAATAGCCGTGATCGGCTTAGGTTAGAGAGAGAGAGAGAGAGAGAGAGAGAGAGAGCGCGTTAGGGGCAACGACCGGGAGGGGAGAGCTAGCGAGGCAGTATGACTGTGTTCTTCAGCCCGGCGACATCGCAGTTTTTTCCATTCGAAGCAACAACGTGTTAAGCCGTGCCGAGTGATATACTGGGAGATTAAATAGATAATTTGTGAGTGGTGAGGCGAGTGCGCACACTGCGTAACGTGTGCAGCATCGGCAGCAGCGATCACAACCTCGGTAGCATCCACTGCGCAGCGTAACATCGGCAAGGAGAGGCGGTTGCAGAGGCAGCGCGTTTTTTTAGCGTAAGCGGATACGGTTGGCCACCGTATCCTCATCAGATCAGCGGTAAGTGCGCTGCACTCTGTAATTCGTATTGCGTGCGATCCCGCGTAGCGTGCGCGGTGAGTTTTTTAGGTAGCGTGCGTGCGACTAGTCCGCGACGTCCGCGAAAACAACTCTCTCTCTCTCATTCGAATTATTGTGTTGATACAGCGTGTGTTCCGACTCTCGGCAAATCGTCCTTTGTACAGGATTAATCTCGTCCAATAAAGTGGTTAAATATTAATAAGAGACGACCTTATTATTTCGTTTCACCTTGTCCGGTGTCGGTGTTATGTTTACATTTCGATTCGAACACGCCGATAGTCCAACACAGATCGCGAATGCTATAGAAGGAGCTGTTCGTCGACCGAGTTGTCTGCAGTGGCCAACGGAGCGCTGGTAAGCAAGCGCATCAGCGCCCCTTGCGAAGAGTTCGCACATCAAAGTTGGATCGCTGAGAGGACTCGGCGCATGAGTACACCGGAGCAAGGTGAGTTAGTGTGCTCGAAGCACACAGCTAACAAAGCACCGTTTGGCCGTAGTGATAATTACATTTGCCGGGGATTTGCGACTAAACGGAAGCCTGTTACAAAACTTTTTCTCCACTGCATATACTTTTATACAGTTATTGTTTGCAATTTTTCCAGAATGGACTATAATGTATTATAAAAAACTTATCTCAAGATCTGGCTTATTTTTTCTGATGCAACGTGATGGATGACATTTATTCGGCACATCAAATAAGTTATTCATTTGAAGTATGAACTTTATAGTAACCTTAAAATTGCTAAATTCTCTAATCATTACATTATTATCTATTTGTTTTTATTGATAATAAAATTTTAAGCCTGCTAGAACGGAATTGTTTAATAACTGAAATGATAAAATGGTTTTTATTTATATTTTTAAATGAAATAAAAATTGAATACAATTGAATAAGTACCTGTATCTTTAGAAAAATCCATTTTTATAACACCCTGTACATTAATATGATGCTATGTTAATTTTGTAGTAACTCTCAATAAAGTTTGGCTGTCCTTTCGATATAGTAGTTCATAATGCTTCCAACGGACTTCATCTTCATTAGTCTAGAATATTACAATAAACATTTTAGTAAACAAAAATGACACGTATATACATAGTTAAAATTTTGTAGAATACGTATATCTTAAACATTTGCTTTGCTTTTAAATTGTTTTGAATCCAATTTATCAAATGAGATGCATCTGAGAAGGCATAAACCCGTTGCTTATCTTAAATGGATTCTCAAAATAGTGTTTGCATTCAACTGAGGCTCCGGATATTTCGAATTCAGTCCACACTTAATCAGTTGGTAGTTGCTCTATCGCAAACAAATCTTTGTACCTTTTGACTTACTTTTTATAGATTTATAATAGCTAATACAACTACGGTAGTCCAAACATTCCTTTACATTACTCTTTGTTGTCTCTTTGGGAGCAAATATCGCAATAGGTTCATGGAAATTAGCAGCTAATGAAGAAAACATAAATACCAAGTCGTGATTCGCTTGCTTATTTACGGTTTCAGCATTACGTTTCAAATCTTTGCTATAAATTGCAAGTGTATTGAAAGTCATTGTTTTTAAATTTGAGTCGATACTCGTTCTGACTAACATTTTATCGAATGATAGAACACCATTCTTAGCCTGTTCCGGAAACATTTTCAGTTACTCTTCAAAAGATTAAATTTAATAAAACTATCATTGAATCTACCATTAATGTTTGAAGATATTAAGTTTCTTAATATTGTAGATTTAGTCGACAAAAGTAATATATTATTAATTATACGTCGAAGCATATTATACCTTGCCGAACCTCGAATATGTATTCGTAGACACGGTAATATCTATTCATCGTTACAGCCGTGATTTTAGGTTTTGCAATTTTCCAACCATAAAACATTTTTAATCAAGAAAGTCTATATTAACAAATTAATATATTAATTATACCTACTAACTTAGAAATATATTAAAAATATTCGTGTTTTTATAATACTTTCATTTAGAAGTACGTTCTCATTAGTTATAACAATTTAAAATTACAAAAAATATTTTATTAAACACAAGTATTCGATTTTCTGGAATATTCCTTACAAGGGAACTATCCCAACCTGACCTCACCGATTTAAATGATTTTGGGATATGTTGTAGTACTTGAAAAAAAATTATATACGTCTTTTTTTTATCGGCCCCTAAGGGCTTTTAAGGGGTGAATCCACCCTGAAAATCAACCCCTAAAATCAGTATTTTTAATATTTCTTAGCATCAAATGAATATTTTTCAGTAAACTCAACGTTAAAAAATTTCTTACAGAAGGGTTGCAACCCTCTTTTTAATAGGGGTGAATACACTATTTTTTGTACTGTTTTACGACATGTAATGTAGTAAATCAGCTCGAGTGATTTAAAAATCGCACTGATAATGAGAAAATACCAAAATTAAATTGACGTGTTTCCGGATTTAAAAAAAAATATGTTAACGGGGTGTTCACCCCCTAGAAACTACCTCCGTCAAACTATCAGCAGGTTAATCCACCTAACCTTGGGATAAACAAGTTTAGTCGTTTGTTATTTCTTGAAATAATTGAATTTTACACCATAAGCGAGTTATCCCAGCTGTATAACATACCTCTTATCCACCTACCCCTAACCTATCTAACCCCCACCCTTATAAACCACCCTTACTGAAACACAAGCATGCTAAACCTCCTAACCCTGGGAAACATGAGTTAAATCGTTTTTTATTTCCTGAAATAATTTAATGCTACGCCCGAGCGAGCTAACTCAACTAACCAACCTACCTCTAACCCATCAAACCCCCATAAACCACCCTTACCCAACCAAATGTAGGCTAATAGACCTAACTTTGGGAGAATTGAGTTTATCAGTTGCTTTTTCTTAAAATAATTGATTTCTACACCGTACGTGGGGTATCCCATTTTTTTTGATAAAATATATCTGTAGCTCAAACATAATTTATGACAAATGAAAATATGTTTAATACATTTCATTTTAATAGTACCAAAATGGCGAGAAGTATCTCTTCAAAATAAACATGAGAATAACACGAGGTCTAATTATCATTTATAGATCTATACATATATATTTATATTCATGTGTAGATACATAAATATATTTACGTAAGAGCCATCGTACGTGGTACTACATATATTTTGATTTTTCATAATAATTTTCATCTTTTTCTCTTTTTTATTTATTGGTAAATTAAAATGTATCATTCAACGAATTTCTTACGGAAATGATAATCATCAAAAAAGTGTTTGAAACATAATGATCTTTTACATTAACCACACCGTATTATAGCAACATTTTTACATGCTTCTACTTCGCAATGTATATTGTTTTAGCTGGTTTTTCAGCAATGTAGCCGCTTTTATACCAAGCGTATTTAAAAATAATTGTATATCTTGGTGAAGAAAGCTGGTTATGGACAAGAGATTGCATTTTTATGATGTTATTTCTTAAATGTAGATTTATTTCATAGTCCATCAAAATAACTTGATCTGATAAACATCGAACGAAGTTTTTTCAGATATGAAATCCATAAAAATCAAGTGGTTGGATGTTCCCTGTCATTCCTGTGGGAATTTTTTTTATATTAACAATTTTGTTTGTCGGCATCGTTTCCCTTACAGCTTTATCGCAATGTCCAGTCCAAGAGTCAAGTAAAAGTACAACATTTGGGTAAAAATCTTCTTTCAACCAAATTTTAAAATGATCTAAAATAAACAAATGTCAAAATTTTTTTATGTCATTGCATTATAATAAACAAAAATATACTAACTTGTCGTTAATTTTCTAGATTTAGATGCTTTCACATGCACATTTTCTGGTCTAAATAATGAAGATTCCACTACGGGACCGAATTGACCACTTTTTTCTTTTAATACTATAAAAAGTGGTGATAAATGTTTCCCGGTTGCTGATATAGTTGGCTGAATTGTATAACTGTGCGTTGTCGATGAAACCAACTGTACCAGACATTGCACCTGCTTTTCTCTTTTAACTGCCAATGTTCTTCCCGGGTGCATTTCTAATTGGAAACCACTCTGATCTGAATTATAAAAGTTTGCAATGCCGATTTCTGGTATACGTGATTTAACATCAGCTACAAAAGCATCAGCATTAGTTTGTAGTTATTATTTATTTTCTAATGTTTTTTTGGTGATAAATTTATTTATTTTTCTAGATAGTATTCTACGAGCTTTTTTAAATTTTAGTAACCAATTTTGAGAAGCCTTAAATCTTATATCTTCATGGCCAACAATTTTTTGAGCTTGCAATGCCCATTTCCGTATATCTCGATCATGCACTATCGTACCAGCTGCAATAGCGGCTTTTAAATTATCAAACGTGTATTGGCAAATTTGCGCAATTTTTTTTCGGTAAGTTACATTTTTTATAATTGTTTTCGCCCAACGTTGAAGTTGACTTATAGATGAAACTTTTTTGAATCTATGTTGTACAGTATCCAGTTTCAAGTTTTTGTTTTTTCCGCTCCAAAATTCTACGGCTCTTTGTTTATAATCAAATGAGATTTCTTCATCATCATTTGTGCACTGATTTGTTGGTGCAAAATCAGGATCAGGAAAGTGATATTGAACTTCATCTTCGATTATTTTAGCATCAGTATCTTTATAATCTTCCTGAAAATCTAACGTCTCTTCAACAATCATATCAATATCATTAAACTCATACACGGCATTTATTAATATTTCTTTCAACTTTTCTGACAATTTAATTTCTTTGAAATTAATCTCGCTATCTGGTATTTGTAAACTTTGAAAATATGCTAATAATAAATTGACTACGTTCAAAGGATTGATCTTCATGTTTTAATCTAAAACAAAATCAAGATATAAATACTCTTTTTTGCAGTTGAATAATTTTACAAAAGACAAAAGAAAACCTAGTCTATAGATAGAATTCGATCATACGTTTTTAACAGTTATATTTCACATGTTTACAAATCAAAATATTTGAATAAAATTATATATGATAAGTGACATAAATACTTACGTAGTAGGCAAAAACTTTTCTTCTTGTTATGTACCATATTTTCGTGTTTGGAAAATTCGTATGTAAATATAGAAATAAGTTTATTTATAAATCCAGCACTATAAGAAAACTTGAACTTTTTAAATACTTGACTTTTCTTCAACTACTATGAATAATGAAATATGTATTGGATGTCTTATTATCGTAAGAGGTGTAGATTTGATATACCTTATCTTCTTCGAGCCATTGATAAGACAAAATTGTAAATAAATAATAAACCACAAGTGAAAATTGAAAAAAGTAAACAGTTTATAAGTATAGGAATTGAGACTATAATAACTATTTATAATTATTAATATAATCAATTATTTGTTATAATTTCTTTTCTCATTGACAAATTGTAAATAATTAAAAAAGAAATAATAACTATATTAAACTTCCACTTTTGAAATTAATAATTTTTAACTGTTATTACTTGTTATTTTTCTTTATTACGATTTAACTTTACATTTAAAAAATAATAACTATTATTATTACCTTTTTATACACAGCTATATGTAATACAATGCAAAAAATATTTTTGAAAAAACTGATACTATAACTGTTATTATTAATTTCGAAAAAACAAAATAGTTAATAATTATTTATAATTTATTTTAGTCTCAAATCTTATATTTATAAGCCGTTATTAATTGTTTTTATCTTTTTTGTATTTATAATGAAAAGAAAATAATAATTATTACATAAAATTTGTAATACTTGGGACATATTGTTATGCAACATGAATGTTATTCAAGAAATACATTTATTTTTCGCTATTTATACAGGGTGTCCAAAATGTTACGGGACACCCCAGTAAGTCCTGAGATATAACTATTTCCGAGGAGATTAAGGTCATTCCTGTAGTTTTTTTTTCATGGCCTTGAGAAGGTTCATTTAAGGTCAAATGCTTGAAAAACTGCCTAAAAGCGTTTTTTTAATTTTTAAGATATCGAAAAATGACCTCTACAAAATTTGTTCAGAACAGAGTGGGCAACTCAATGTACCAAAA